AAAAACTAAGTTTTAGGCTTAACTGTACCTTATTTTCAAGACAGTATGGTTTAAGTGTCAAAATAAACATATCAATAGAACAGAGTTGAGTCCAGCAACACGCCCTCACGTATATGGACTATTGATTTCCAACAAAGGTGCAAAGGCAATTCATTGAAGAAAAGATAATCTTTTCAATAAATGATGCTGGAACAAGCAGATGTTCATACACACACACAAAAAAAACCTTTAATCCACACCTTCACTATATACAAAAGCTAACCCGAAATGAATCACAGATAAATGTAAAACCTGAAACTATAAAACTTCTAGAAGAAAATACATGAAACCTTGGATAAACCAAGATGTCTTTCATATGACACCAAAAGCATGATTCATAAAAGAATAAATTAAATTTGACTTCACTAAAGTTTAAAGTTTCTGATCTTTAAAAGACGCTGTTAGGAAAAGGAAAAAATATAAGGCAGAATGAGAAAAAATACTTTCAAAATGTGTATTTAATAAAGGACTTGTATTCATAATATCAAAGTCTCAAAATTCAATAGTTAAAAAAATAAACCATTTTTTTAAATGGTCAAGAAGTTTGAACAGGTTTTCACCAAAGAAGATATATGGGTTGCAAATAAGCACATGAAAAAGATGTTCAACATCATTAGTCATTAGGGAAATATAATAAATTAAAATGACAATGAGGTAGTATTATACATCAATTATAAAAATTAAACTGAAAAAGACTGCCCAATGGGCGACCAGTTAGTTCAGTTGGTTAGAGCGCAGTGCTCATCACACCAAGGTTGCCGGTTCAATCCCTGCATGGGCCACTGAGTTGCGCTCTCCACAACTAGATTGAAACAACTAGTTGACTTTGAGCTGATAGGTCCTGGAAACACACAGTTCCCCAATAAAATTGGAAAAAAAAAAAAAAGACTGTTCAAGAACTGGCAAGAATGTGGAAAAACTGACACTCTCACACACTGCTGGTGGGAATATAAAATGGTACAACCATTTTGGAAAAGTGTTTGATGGTTTATTAAAAAGTTAATAGTGCACCTACCATGTAATCCAGTCATTCCACTCCAAAGGTATTTACTCAGTGGAAATGAAAGCATATCTTTCTGCAAAGACTTGTACACAAATGTTCTTAGCAGTTTTATCTGTAATAGCTAAAACCTGGAAACAAAC